GTATATATACTCTTCTGATAAGTTATGTAATACTTTTGTCAAATTTCAAACTATTTCAGGTGGTAAAAATATTGTCTGGATTACTTTGTGCTAAAATCGTCTAAACTCAGCAGCTTAGAGACTTTATCAATAATATGAATAGGAAACAAAATAAGAAAATTCCTTTTTAATTAGTTCTTAGCAAATTGTGAATTTAAGTATTAAAAATATGTAATTATCTACAAGTAATGACCTTATTTTTATATTTTGTTTGTTGTTTTTTTTTTACTTTTTTATGCTATTGACATGTGAACAAATGTAAAACCTGTGTGAGTTTGACTTTGTGCTCACCTACGTGTGCATTATTATTTGCACTCTTCTAGTATCTTATCTGTTTTGCACACTAGTGTGTTGTTTCACCACTATTCATCCAAGTAAATCAGTATACTCTGTGGTAGACGATGTATTATTGTCAGTAATTTAAACTGTTGCTGCTTAACCAATAAATCCCTTTCCATCTCCTCTGTAAGGTTTTTACTGTCAAACTAGTTTCTCTCTGGAAAACAAAGAAAAAAAAAGAAAAGAAAAGAGAGAAACTCAAGGCGCCCCTCTGTTTCTAATCTGTGTCTGTGAGAACGAGGCGTCTGGGAGTGATTTGAAGCACACTGTGACCTGCTCACCAACTCAGCCCCAACGTCAGCAGAGGATGTGAACGCCACAGATGGTGGGAATTTGATACATATAACTCACTTCTCATTGGGCTCCTGACAAAAGCAAAGATTTTCCACTGCAAGGTTTGTAATTTATCACAAATTTAGAAAAAAAGCTTCTGAAAAGTGACTCTTTTTACGTAAAAACCTTGTATGAATGTAATTTGAAAAACAGTGTTTATTTCTTTATGGAGAATTCAACAGATATACCATCCTTGCAGTTTAAAACATAGCTCAGAGTATGTGATGTGGTCGACTCTCAGCTACCACGCCAAAGTGTAGCTCAGTGTCTATAAACCTGACAGAGTTAGAGCTATTCTTCTGTTTCATATGCCAGTTGTGGTGGCCATATTGAATTGAACTGACTCCAAAATGTAATCAGTTGTAAATACAAGGGTTAGACGATGAAACTAAAACACCTGTCATTTTAGTGTGGGAGGTTTCAAGGCTAAATTGGACCAGGGCCTTCATTAATTGCACATTGCACCAGTAAGAGCAGAGTGTGAAGGTTCAGTTAGCAGGGTAAGAGCACAGTTTGGCTCAAAACATTGCAATGTACACAACATTATGGGTGACATACCAGAGTTGAAAAGAGGACAAATTGTTGGTGCACGTCTTGCTGGTGCATCTGTGACCAAGACAGCAAGTCTTTGTGATGTATCAAGACCCACAGTAACCAGGGTAATGTCAGCATACCACCAAGAAGGACCAACCACATCCAACAGGATTAACTGTGGACGCAAGAGGAAGTTTCAATAAATGTCACCGAGGGAGTCATGAGTTATTTTGCTAACAAACATACACAGTTATCTCCAATAGGTAAAAATAAAAGTTATAAACATGCCTAGCTTGATCAGGTAACGCTTAAGGCATGTGACAGGATGACTCTCAGTGACTACTACACAAAATTTTAGCCTATTTTTTATGTTGCTGTGCCAGAACTGGACCAGACAAATTTTGCTTTGTGGGTCTGTTAGCCATGAGTCTCAGCTACTTTCACACCAAACTGTAGCTTAATGTCTGTGAAAAGGTTTAGTCATTTTGGTGTTTCATCACGAGTCTGGATGACTCCAAATGTTAGTTGGTTAAATATGTATGTTCAGTGATTACGGTCTGAGAGTTTCTTTAAAAACAGTCCAGTGATTCTTGAAATATTTTGCTGACAGACAAACACAGTTTGGATTGCCGTGTAAGACGAGCAATGTTGAACATGTAAAGCACATGTTTTGTTTGTGTTACAGTGTGATTTAGGACTGTTTTCAACATATTCATGTTATGACGTGTTTACTTTATGCGGCCTCTTGCGCAAGGGCCTGCTTAAACATATCATCATCCAGAGATTTCACCCTCTGTCAAAAAGAGACATTTAACAGGACCGTGAAATACAAATACATATCTGATAAGCACCTAAAACCAACAGGCCATTGTAGAAACTGTGGCTTTATCAGTCTTTGTTCTGTTATTTGTCTCCATGGCTTGGAGATAAATCTTATCCAGGTCATAAAGTATATGAAACTCTTTCATATTCTGAATTATTCCATGATTCATTTATCAACATTACCCTGAAGAAACCTTTAGTCAGGCTATGACATGATAAAGATATAATATTTCATAAAATAGAAAATTAAATGAAAATAGACAAACATATACGTATTGTTAGAAACAAACAGCGGAACGGCGTCCGAGTGAGGTGAAGGAAGAAAATCAGAGTGTGAGAAAACAAGTGAGGAGAGACAAACCGAGGGGTTTTATTTCTGGATTTTAGTGGGAACCTTGTTTCCTGCCAGCAATGAATTGAAAAGAGCCCAAAAACAAATAGCAGAGGATCTCAGAGGGCCACATCGCTTCTCTGTGCAGCACTCAGACTGATTTGTTTGTTGATACAGTCAAATTTGGGCAAAAAGAGTTAATGACTGCTTTATGAAACAATTCATTGAGACACAGTCATGGTGTTTAATGTTGTCGCTGATGTCGACTGCTGCTCATTTTTGGGCAAAAAGGAAACATCTTCACAGAGTTCTCATTTGAGCCATAATATTAAGCATTGGGTGTGAATGATGCTTTAGGATCTTTTTTTTTAAATTCTATATTTGAAAGTCCATGATCAAAACAAACATGTTCTGTTCATTTAGCGCTTGAAGAAACAAATTCATTTATTCAGTTTTTTTAGCCTTATTTCAAACTTGTTAACTATGTACAGTCATTTTAAGCAAAGACAAGAGAAACAAAAGATGATAAACCGACAAAAACAAAATAAAATTTAAAAAGTGCACAAGAAGCACGGCACTTTTTATATCTCTAATGTTGAAAAGGATCAGGAAGACGTACATACAGTATTTATTTAATCCCACCCATTCACCAATTGTTATCATTTTTACTAATCTAATTTCTTATTAATACAACCACTACTGGAAATAATAGACATATTTACAATATTCAAATATTGGTGCTGTAGAAACAACATGAACTTACCTGTTGTAAATAACTCTTTGAACCTCAATTGAGACAAAAAAAAAGCAATGTTTAATTTAGTTCACATTGACAAGTTGACTAGTTTGAGTATGCTTAAAAAGTGTTTTCTTGTTATCTACATAGAATTCTGTTGGGTTTTTGTAAGTGCAATTAGCTGCAGCAGCAGGTAACTGTAGCACTTCTAGCACCTACCGGGACAAACTCCATTTATAAATCAAGTTCACTTTTGAAGTCAATCCAATTCAGTCTGGTGTCCACAGCTAACCCATATTATCAAACATAAAAATGACAGATTACCAATTAGATTACATTTTACCAATAAGGAGCTAGTGGTTTGGAGTCTTTCAACTTGTATGGTAAGAGCTGATTACACAGTTTATGTAAAAAAAAAAAAAAAAAAAAAAAAAAAAAAAAAAACTTAGACAAAAATTATTGGGGTCATCTCTGTCTGTCTGTTAGCAAATTATCAAACAAATCATTGGATAAAATTGATTGAAACTTTAGGAAAATAATTATTGAAAAGACATACGCAACTGATTAATGTTTGGAGTCATGTGATGCACGATGACTTTAAAAAAAACACATATTTTTAGAAAGTATAAAAATGGCTATGGCTCAATCAGTTTTACAAACATTGGGCCAAATCTTGGTGAAATTGTAGGTGAGACTAATTGACAACGCATAATTCAGACGCTACGTATTACACAATGTACAGTATTTGTCTGGAATTATAGCTTTAACTATTGATGTCAACCCTGTTAATCTGTTATCAAAGGTCTTCATAAATCATCAGGCAGATTATTATACAACCTTTGGAAAAAAAAATTTTGGATATACATCTACAGCTGATTAAATGTTGGACTTCATCCATCACAGCTAATTGACCATGGCCAACAAAAATATCTGTACAACAATTTAAAATATCTTAGTTTGAAGTCATCCTCAACACACACAATCTGGATTTATAACATTTGATCAGAACTCCATCCCCTATTATCATAAAGTGATTTTAGTTTGGCAGAGGGTGATGTGCATTCCTCTGAGGAATGCCTGGCCTTTTTATTAAAATCATTTTGAATTGCTATTCCCTGTAGAATTTTCATAAATCTCTTTAACAAATTATTCAAAACATGCAAACAAACAGCAGGAACCTGGAAAAACATAAAACAAGCTGTGTAAAAGTCACATTAGAAAAGTCAAAGCAAGACAAGACACACTAAATGAAATATACAGTATATACTGTGTTTAAAATATAACTGCCCTTGTTTGCCTAGATGGATCTGGGCCTGCAACACAAAAATGTTATCATGAAATGTTTTTTTGCTGAAATATTATCTTGTTTCAAAAAACCTAGTAAATAACCTAGTAACCAGCACTGCTCCGACACATGAGGGCCGTACAATGTGCAGAGCGGGGGGTGAAAGCAGGGGTCAATAGGAGAGCAGCAGCTTGTTTTTGTTCCAGAACCTCAAAGCGGACTCCCATTAGTATGTTGTGATTGTAAACTTAAGGAGGGCCTATTGCCAAGACCTGTGTGTAAAAGAAATCTCGACAAGCATAATTAAACAACTGATATTTAATTTTTCATTAAGTTGGATCAGTTTATATA